TAAACAGCAATTAGCACCAGACTATACTTACTTCTCTGCCAACTTTGTCATCTAAATAACAACAACAAAAATTGCTAAAAAAAAAAAAAAATTACCCAATTGACTATCAACTGTTGCTAACAGTTTTTCCCCTTTGGGAAAACTTGTCCAGACAAATTTGAATCTGTGCTGTGTGAACGCTGTAATTATGGAAAATTCATAGTTATAAATGTCTGAATTTGCAATGAAAACCCAGCCAGGAAAATCTTTTCCACTGGGAGTTTCATGCACTTCTATGTCAAGCAACTGAGAGTTTACTCTTGTCTTAAGAAATGAGAACTTCAAGAAATCTTCACACCCTTAAGGTTACAATTGCAAGAATACATTCATGGTGGGTTTTGTTGTTGTTTTGAGAAAATACAGAGATATGGAATGTTATTTTAAAAAACGTAAAAGTTAAAAAGTTAAATCTTGTTTAACAAACTGTAACAAACACTGCAAAACCTGGACTTCCATTTCTCCTCCTTGAACTGCTATAGCTTTTATGAGAGTCCTCTGCAGGAGTCCAGATCTTCCTGTTTAAGCTGGTATCACTGCCAACTTCTCTAAAGAACAGTGACCCAGGATCCCATCTTATTCTCAGACACCTTTCCCCTGAAAACTCTGATTTCCACATCCTCTACCCCAAATGCTACATGCACAGCTTTTAAACAGCTCTTTTGCTTTACCAGCCTTTCCCCAAATCAGCAATAAAACCTCTCCAATAAATGACTGGTGCAACTGTACCCCTGGCCAGGAGGATGAGAACGAAGCGCCAAGCTGAGCAGAAGGTCCAAGGAACCTCCCGGGCAGCTGCTACGGCTGGTAGCTCCCCTGGGACCAGACCAGGGCCAGGAGGATTCAAGCTGAAAAGCATGCCCAGCATCGCCAGGGAGTTCTGCTAGCAAACGAGGACGCTTTTAAAGAAAGATTACAATCTCAGTGACAGAAAAGAACGATTTCAGTATTACACGCACATCCTATGGAAAGATGATATGAAGGTTAAATATTAAGGAAAAGTCTCTGGGCAAAATATTCTTTCCCAAGATTTTTAGGCGTATACACAGAACCACTGGAATTAAGGTGGCTTAGTTTTACATTGTGTCAGATGCACTGAATTTGCCTGTTAAACAGTTTCCTACTTAGAAGGAAATTATTGTAAACTAAAAATTTATTTGGGCAATACAACTTTATTTCTGAAACAACATCCTTTCTAAAGGCAATTTTCTAGATACAAAAGACATTTAGGGATTGAATTTCCTCTGTGCCTCTGAACGACTCTTCTCTGCACTTCATGCTATAAGAGCACAAAGCAGAAGATTTTCATTTCATCAGGAACACAAAAGTCATCTTAAAGCGAATTATAAGTTAATTCAAAATAAACTGCAAAGACTAGAGAATTAATGATACCCTGATGTATATCAGAGGGCATCTCACAATTTAATAAACAAAACATTGACAAAATAACAGGACACTTAAGACCCCAGTCTTTTTTTTTTTTTTAATCTTTTCTAATACAGTTAGATTCAGCTCTAAATCTTTACCCAACTGCTTTTCACTGTATGCCAGCTCACATTATAAAATGAATACACGTCTAGAAATCTCATAGAAGTCTTAGCCAGTGAAAGGCATGCTGAATTCTCCAGGAATCAGGCTCTTTACAGATACCCTGTTTCTGCTTTGCCTCCGTTCCAGAAACCTCTCAGGTATTTTCCTCTGAAATGGGACATCTGTCACTGGTGGTGGCACAGGCTTGCAAGTGCACAATGTGCTTCCTAGCAAGGCTTTTAGAGCTCGTGTCTGGCATGCAGAGTCACGAAGCTGGAAAGAGACCATATTGCAGCACTATAAAAGTGCATGAGATACGGCCTTAGTTGTAGTAGAACATAAGGCAGGAGCCAACTGTGAAAGTCTCGCGCTCGACATGCAACACGCAACAACTCTCAGGCACTCTCTTCATAAATTTACTAGTGCTACAACTTTAATAACTCCACATTCAGACCCTGGGGAGTAAGAAATATACAAGCTGTATTTTATACTGCAAAGTAAAATGACTAGACGTAGTTCACATCTATTTTTTTACATTAGAGAGTCATATTATAAAAAATTGTATTTTTAATTTTCCATAGTTTTCTCTAGAGGATTAGAGCAGCAAGCTGCAGAAATTCTGAGTATTAAATATCACGATGAAAAAAGTCATTTATCACACGGACAACAGCCAAACCTACCTTTAGTAGAAGATTCATCCTAATACTTAAGCAGTCAACACTAAAAAAATCGAAAAGCAACAACCACCACCAGAAAGACAGTCTCACAACAATTCTTGGGAAACCTTCTGAATTTGAAATAGTTACTTCTATATCAGGGCTTGGGTCATTTGCAAAAAAAAAAAAAAAAAAATCAAAACAAACAAACACAGAAACTTATGCTGCATATGGATGCATTACAGATTTTGTGGATTTTGTGGATTTTTGTGGATTTACAGCTTTGGTTGAATCCAGTTGTAATTTTATTATATAATATGAATATAAGTATGCATTCAGTTGTATTAAAAATAGGCATGGCCCTTATGCTTTGTTAAATCTTCCAAAAATCTATGTTAAATTAATAACCCTGAATTAACATGCTGTAAGAAACATCAAGATTTGGTTCAAAATATCTTTGGATGTCGTCATTATAGCTGTTCTTGTACTTCAACAGGAAAAGTATAATCATGATTGAAGAGGCTGTTAATGTTCTTCATGAAAGTTCTTTGCTTCTCTTTAGTTTATCTGGTTTTACAAAGGCTCATTCTGTTGATCCATAACACTCTGATTAGTCTGACGAATGAAGCACTGACTTATGTCTGCATATTTCTGCAGTATAACAGGACTGGATTCATTTAACAATTAATCAAAGTCAGTGACACACTTAGGAAGGTATCATTTAGATTTTGCTTATCTCTTCGGTTAGCGAGGGCAAACTCTCAGACTCCTGGGAATGAAATATTGCAAGTTAAACTACAGAAATGACTTGTCTTGATTTAGGGTAATTTGAGTGCTTAAACACACATAAAAATAAATTTACTTCCAGATGGCATTAAAAACTATACATGTTTTCTTCATTTCACCAGCAGTTTAAATAACAGAAGGCCAACAACACTTAACCTTTTTTAGTCTTTATTTCAGTTAGTTATGATCTTTCTTTCTAAAGGCTTATACCAAAAACTATAACTTACATTTGTTTTCAGTTAATTTGTAATGTTGGTCAAAATCACATTGTTCCTTTTGTCTTTTAATTCACTTTAAAAGCTATGATCACTATAAGATTACTTTCATAATGCTTTTGATTTTATAACATTTCAATAAAAAGAGGACTTAATAATATCTTTTAACATATTTTAATAGATTCATTATTTATACAAACTAATTTACAAGATTCTTTCCTTTCAAAATATGTAAATAACATTATTAAATAATTATATGGTATGAAATTGCAGGAATTGTTAGTTTCATGCAAATATCTGTGTTTTTATGTAAAATCTTAGAATTTGCTCCTGCTAAATGTAAGATTACAATTTAAGCCCAAAAATAAAAAGATGTACTACTATTATATTGCTAAAATCATATTTAAATGAATTAAATGAATTCTTCTTAACTATATAACTTTGAAACTATAATCTTGGTACTGTATGGTAGGCTTAACAAATATTCAAAAGGACTTAACAGATACTCAAAAGGAGAAACAGCATTTGCCATCATGCAATTAGGAAATACTTGTAACTACAGACCCGCAACTGAATCTCAAATAAAGATTAGTCAAGACTTCTCAAGAAAGCTATTTTAATATAAAACCCCCATATACTTTTCTCACTGTTCTAGAAGCAAGTGGAATAATTTCTGTTAGACAAAAGAAAGGGCTGCAAAAATCACAGACAACTTCTCACTTTAGTTGAGAATCTAGAGTGAAAACTTGCGAGGTCTCCTGTAATTTAGTCTGAACAGACCCACAGTAAAATGCAATGGGAGAATCTCTGGGAGAACCTATCACACACTGTGGGGAAAATATAGCATAATCTCAACTATTCCTGCAAAAGACTCCACCTGGATAATCTCAAGAATTACAGGATTTTCAACTGTCCATCTTATCCTGCTGGAATTACAGTATTCATAAATCTGATGAACCTCTTTCACACACATTGCTCCCACCCTCTCCGTGTTGTACACTCCTTGGAATCCCACTAATCCTCACGTTAAAAAGACTGAAGCCCAACCCCTCCAAGGGCTGCCAGACTGATTTCTCGGACACGTATGGGTACACAGTACTCCCCAATTTCTGTGGTTGCCAAGAGTCTAGTAATTTTTAAAGCATTTTTCTATAAAATCTATGCTGCACAGACCCAAACTCACTGACCTCCAGATGAAGGTAAAGGTATCTAGCTCCCTGTATAGTCAAAGCCTCATCACATTCAGACTGTCCATGAAGCCCCATGGCAGGGAAGCTACTGCACTTCAGTTGCTCTTGACTTAGTTATGCAGCCTCCAAATAAAGAAGAAAGGTGGCTACTTGAGATTCATTTTTAAATTTGCTTACAAGGAACTGCAAATGCAAAATTCCAGATTCAAGTAAGAGAGCACGCTGTTGCTTTACACCTGTAATCAACAGTATGGATAAAGCAAAGTCTGGGTTACCTGGCTATTAACAGTCAAGAGGCAGGACGGCAGCAAAGGAGTCTACTCACATTCCTATAATTATTAGTACTTAAGAGTTTGAGGTTTTCTTCCTTCAGCAATTCCTCAACTACTAACTAAACAGACTTTCTACAAATGAGACATTGCTTGTCTTTCAGTCCTAACATAAGGTATTCTAGGCAATATGCTTTGCAACCATAACACAAAGACTTAAATAAAAGGCAGAATGTATCCAGTGCCAGGGCATCAAGCTTTTTTTTCATTGTCTAATTAACACAGAAATTAGGTGTTTCTAAAGGTCATGAAACATACCCAGATAAGAAGCAGCAGATTTCTTTTCACTGTCCCACAGTAGCCCAGCATTCCAACTATGATAAGGAAACAGCAAACAGCGATCATGACTGGATGGACCACAGGAAAATATGTCAAAATGAGAGCCTCCTCCACCCTGAAGCAAATCAAAACCAGAATCAAAAAAGTATAATCACACAGAAAAATTACACAGTATAAAAAATGTAGCCTAGTCATTAAAAGGGGTAGATTAGCGATGTACTGTGCAAGTTTCATGGAAATCACTTCTATATGGCTCTAAAACCAAATGCTCTTTTCAGGTAGCAAAAGGCAAAGCTGGAAATCTCTGTGGGGCAAAGGCCCAAATTCTCCTGTCCAACAGTTGCACAGGATGCAGCACAATGAGGCTCTATTCCATGACTAGAGCTCCTAAAAGCACTGCAGTAATACAACTAACAACATTCTTAAATCTCTGGACTGAATAAAGTATGCAAAACTATTCAGTAATATGATTACCTGTCAGCCAATGGCCAAAAATTGATCTCTGTCAGGAAAGACAGGATTAAATTAGTTTACCTTTCTCTTTTGGGAAATTTCAACTTTTGCTAAAAGAATTTTACAAAAATTGTAAAAATATACTTTTTGACACACACATACAAAAAAAATAAAAAGACAGTATCATAGCTCCAGAAACCTTAATCACTAAACATGCTACATAAAATTAATTACATATACAACAATCATTTAGCTACACAGATTAGTAGGTTTCAGCTTACCTTGTTTCTGCAGTTAAAGTGAGAACATTATTCAAGTAGTCTCTCATCCAAGCAGAAACACCTAATACACTGATGGACATCAACTAAAAAGAAAAAGTGAAGTTACTTTTTCATGTGTGTTTAAAAAAGGCAAGATTATTCATCACATAAGCACAGGATCAATCATCAGTAACAGTTGTCATACAATCATTTATCTGAACAGAATATTCTTCCCAAAAATTGTGCTCGTATTTGCTTAGGATTGGTTTGTCACCTAAGGATTTGGGGAGCCAATGGCAATTATCCTGTCTTCCATTATGGGTAATTAATGCCTGAAATACTTCCCATCTCCCCCCGTGGAGTCATACCAACACTGTCTCAATTCCTGCCACTGTGCAACCAGGCACAGAGACAACAGGGGGAGGATTCATGCTACTAGGACCAGTGACTCCAGCAGAGCTCCCAGACAACATCCACCTGTCTGCACGAAACCATGAAGCCACCTGCAGGCACACAATGTGCAAAGGGAAATCTGGAGCCCTAGAAAGGATGCAACAGCACTGACATTCTGACACGTAGGAGAGGAGGTAGATCCTGTGGGTAAGTCCAGGAGAATCACATTTTCTCTCTGATTGTGCCAAAGGCTGACTTTGTGGCCTTGAACATATCATGAACTCTGTGTCTGAGCTTCCTGAACTGTAAAGTAACAATAAAACTTGTTTCCCATTTCATTTAGATAAAAAAAAACCCTCTATGAAGTGTTCGGATGCCCAAATTCACTGTACGTCAAAACGGAGGTGCCCAACCACATAGTGCCATCTAGCACTAGCATTTGTCTAACTCCCAGGCACTTGAGCTACATGAAACAAATACCCTTGCCAGAGTACCTGTGGGTACTGTGCCCACAGCAAATAAAATCCTGAGATAGAGCCTACCTAGAACTGCCACCTCCTTGGCAGAGCTGGGTTTCTGTCACCTCATACCTTTCTTACATGTCAGCCCATCTGGGAGCTTCAAGAAGAGGTTTTTGCCCCTAATCTTCCTGAGAAACCAAGCCTGAATGGCATGGTTGGAGCATCTCTACCACATGACACTGTCATCCCCCTGCACACTTTCTGCTGGCCCTCAAAACACTGCATTTCCTCCTGCACGTGCTGAACGGATGGAGTCCTGCTCGCCAGCACAGGAAGGCAGAGTTACAGGTTTGAAGTCCTTCTGGAGAAGGAGGAAACCACTAAGTCTCTCTACAAAGTGGAACAAAGTTAAGGTTACTAAATATCACCATCTATTTCCCAAACCATTTCAGAGAATACAGCTGGCTTATTATACCCAAAGGGAGTCTTTAGGCACAGAAGGCATGAATATCAACCTCATGCAGGCACTTAGCTCTGACCTGCAGCTCTCAGGCTGAGCCTAGCAAACACAGGATTGCAGAAGTATCACTAGCTTCAGCTTTTCCAGCTGACTATCTCAGCTCAGGGAGGGATTGCTCAGCAGTACTTCCTAACACTTACTATTCCTCTCACATATCTGTATAAAAGTACTCTAGGAAACCTCTGCATTGTTTTAACAGCTTCTAAATTCCACGGAAGCACTAGTCTGCTCTTGCCCAGTTGTCAGTCCAAAATTTACCCAAATTTTGCTTCCTCTGCCTTAGTTCAGGAAGCAGGCACTCCCAGAACAGTGTTTCTGCTACATCAACACACAGAGAATTTGGATGAGTGGTAGCACCTCCTCTGAAGAGGATTTTCACTATCCCTTCAATGGCATTAGCTAGCTTCCCACACACTCCCATGCTGCCCCGAAGTTATGCATACAAACTAGTTAAACCTGGCTCAAAACTAACATTTTAGAAGCGTTCCCGTGTGTCTCTATCGGCTTCTTGGAATGCCTGGCTTTGCCGGCAGCACGCTCGCAGCAGGGTATTGCTGCCTTTAGGATTTCATAAGCATTGGTGGCTACTGAACTACTTCTCAAAATCCATGCATAAGCACTGAACGCTGCCTTGGTCCTGCACAGTGCCAGGAGGAGGTCTGGGTGCTCAGTTTGCTGCCTGCATATTGCTAAGAAGTTAGTGCAGACTAGAACTCTATTCTATAAATGCATGTAAGGGCACATTGCCTTTAAGTTATGTGGGATCTATTTTGGTTGGTGAACCAGTAGGAGTAAAGAGAATTTGCTGTTCTATTTAACTGATAATTCAGGAAGATCTCTTCCACTCTCTTTAACTTACAGTAAAATACTTGAAGTTAAGATAAATTTGACTACTGTGCTTTACAGAAACAGTGCTCAAAAAGAGGACAGAGTCCAGCCAAACAAAAGCACTCCTTGCCAACTTTCAGGAAAAGTCAAAAGGTCCTGCTAAGACAGCAGCATCAGAAATAAATTTCACTTGCTAAACAACATTCTTTCTTCCGTATTAAACTGGTAGACTGCCCAGTCCCAGCTCTCTGCTGGGAGCTCACAGGCAGCCTCTGCGCTGCTTCTGCACTGTGCGTGTAGCACTACGTTCCCACCAAAGGAGCAGCAATGGATGCTCTGGAAGGAAGGGAAGTTGCTCCTTCAGACAAGGCAAGATGCAACAGGGGAGAAAAAGAAATGTGCAAATTCTGAAGAAGCTCCCATATTAAAATAAATAAATAAATAAAGCAGCACGTGGGAAAACAAAGCATGATAATGAATAATTCAATAATACTCTATTTTACTACACACAAACCCAACAAGTTTAGTAGCTTTTTTCACAGTGCTACCTTTTTGTGGCTAAAAGACATACATCTCCTCCAGATGAGCAAAAGCAAGCTTCCAGACAAGCAAACTGTGAGTGCTGAAGGGCATGTTTGCAAAACCAGTGAGTCCTGGGCAGTGACCGGCACTTATTCTAGCAACAAAAGATTGTTATCAAGCATTAGCTCACATCCATCCAACCTGACTTGTCTGCCCCTCCACTCCTTAGCCACAAGGGAATAACAACAAAAACGACACACAAGCACACCCAAATTCCACAGTCTCCAATCTCCCTGTCACTATGCTGCTGAGCAGCAGCAAACCTGCAGCTGGCATCGCTGCAGCTACACGGATTAGCTTCCTCAGTGCAACCCAGCACGGGTGCTCAGAAGGCAACAACAGCTCTTCCAGAAAGCCTGGAGCACATCCCGACCCTACCAGCAAAGGGCACGTACATCTCTGCAGTTCACTGCAAAGTGATTTTCATGGATTCAGAGGAAGCGGCAAGGTCCCAATTAGGGTTTTCACAGGTTTGCTTGGAGGAAGGACAAAAGGAAGCCTTAAAAATTAGCAGGCACCACTTCAGCTCTTGTTTCAGGACAAATCTATATATAAAACATTGAGCACTTAAAAAGCTCTATCAAACAATCAGCATGAGTTTAGCTCTAAAAGGTCACAAGTTTACAAGAAGCAAAGCTACCAAAGTGATTTTTTTTCCACTTTAGCATTCACATCACTTCAGTAAAATGCCTGCATCCAAACTTCTCTGATGACGCCCAGCCTGCTATGCTGTAAACATGACATGACAGCAGGCAGTAAAACACTCCTGCTACAGCCGGCCGCACAAGTCACTGCGTGTTCCCTTCTACCCTGTCACGACACAGGAGACAGCAACAAACTGAAGGGTTTATAAAATTGCATGCTCTATTTTAATTATATTTTCATCTTGACTAAACAAAGGTTGTAAAGTATATTTTTAAATAAGCTCTCCAAAATCAACATGCATGCCATACATTAGTATACAAAACTTCTTTTCCACTTTTTTATACTTTGAGAATGCTTTCACAACAACCATAAAAGCTATATCCAACAACTTCCTCAAAATATTAGAAGTGGCCATTTCAAAGCACAATTTAAATCATGCGACAAAAACAAAAAGATATATATATATTTATTCATTAAGAATATATTTTAAGTCTTTATTGTTACTCCCCTACCTCAGAGTCTTTGAGGCCATCTCAAAAATAAATCTGTGTTTTCAATTAATAAATGACCATGAATTTCTAAATTCAGTGAAGCAAGACTAATTGTTCTAGGTAGCTGTTCATTGCTGTCACTATCAGCGTCTTGTTTTCATTGAAACATCCTAACATCTTCACTTTGCTCAAATTTGAGAAGGTGTTTTAATCATTAAACCTAAAGAAAGATCAAAAATAAATACCTCCCACATTAAAAATCACATGCAGTTCTTTTTTATCAAAATAAATGAGGCTAAGAACTTCAGGTTCTAGTATCCATACAAAAGGTTGCATAACAGCGCTATATAAGAACTTACATTCCAGAAAGAGGCCTACAACTCCAGTGAAATTACTTCAAAGATAGAGTAAAACTCTGCATGAGAGAAGCTGACAAAGTGTCCTTTAATTTTTAGCAGAGAAATAACCCTTGAGAATGTTTCCATCTAAAATTGATTTGGGCTATTTGAGCTGTGGCTTACCAAAAACAAAAAAATAAATCACTACAAGGTCATGAACAGAGCATGTTGCAATGTTTCCACAATTAAATATATTCACTACCCAAATCCCTGAACAAACACAGATGCCTGAGTTCACTGGACAAACATGGACAACTGCGGTTTTTTTTTTGTGAGGAAGGGGTTTGGAGTGGGGGAGATATCTTGCTTTTTGCTCGCAAAAGCATAAAAATATTTATGGAGAATGGACTACAAAAGAATAATTCACCTCTTCCCAACAAAGCACCTTTTTTCTGTGGTACTTTTTAACCTCATTCAGGGTCATACCTTAGTCCCCCGCCACTCGCAAGCAGCCCAAGCAGGGACCTATTTGCACTTTGCTTCCAGGTTTGCTTGCACAGCTGCAGGCGAGGGAACAACCCGACCCGCGGCACCGGCTGGAGCTTGCACACTCTGCAGCAAGGCAACTGCCTGAGCACTGGCTAAACGGGTCACCCTCCCAGAGAGTTCTCCAGGGACTGACCATAAACGGAGCCTGCAGTAGCTCAATTAAAAAAAAAAAAAAAAAAAAAAAAAAAAACTGTGAAATCAGAGCTCAAATGTACAAACAGGTTTACATGAAGTTAATTCAACAGCATGTTCTTCTCAATGTCATACTTGTTCCAAGTAGCACAGAAGCGCAAAAGG